ATCTACAATATTCTACAGACACAACTTTCAGCGCAAAGAAAGTGCTTTTGCGGCTTTCTGTTGTATTAATGAATGCACACATTTGGTTGCAGGAACACAAATTATGAGCAATAAAGCGATTAGGGAATCCAGTGACGCACAGGTATGAGTGAGTTGGCTTCAGTTCACCATTAGCGTCTCTGGCATTGCTTGCTTCATCTGCAGATTAATTGATTCTATATAGAGATAGATTGCTCATTTCAGTATTCCCCTAGCATTATCCTCTTATTTTTAGACAGAAAAAAAATGAACAAATATTTCTCTAGGGTAAAATATGCAGCAGTTATCCTCTGGAGAATGTAGTCTAAGAAAATATATATTTATATTACTGCGAGCAGCTGAGTAGTAATTCTTCTCTAATGCTCGTTTTTTCATTTTATTGGAATTTACAACAAGAGGAACAATTAAGGGTAATCTCTAATAGAAAAGAATAGTAATCTGTAATTTAAGGCAAGTCCTATTGTTTCATAAATTACGTATACATCATTACTTCTTTCATGCAGAAAAAAACACTTTGTATGTGTAATATATGTTTATTCTTATTAAAAATTTTCTTTCCATTGACCATACTTTTAATTCTACTTTAAAGGTGACATTTGAATTAATTTAGAAAATGTAAGGTGAGCATACTAATGACTTTTGCTACAATAGAAAAACTCTAAAGGAAGAACAAAATATTATATGCTTACAGATACAGGGAGAACACTATGCCTCGGGAGATATTCTCTGCTTGGCTTGCCACGTAAAACAAGATTATATACATTTAGAAACAAAAAAAGATTATAGATGGTAAACAACTCTGTCAATAATTGCCAGGATAGACAAATCGTGTGGTAATAAATGCTGGAAACGCCATGAGGCAGAAGAAATATTTTACCGTATGTGGTAGACATGTAAAAAAAAAACCTCAGAAGTACTGGAAAGAAATATACAGCACTATTTAGAGAATTTTAGAAATCAAATTTGAAATGAAACCACAATTCCTCTTACTAGGCATACTTTCAAAACATATTTACAAAAATTAATCACAACTTACTAAGATAAGCCAAGGATAAACCTAGCACAACAATGGAAAAGAAATACATTACTGATATCAGACTGAGAAATCTCTTACTAGGCATACTTTCAAAACATCTCTTACTAGGCATACTTTCAAAACATATTTACAAAAATTAATCACAACTTACTAAGATAAGCCAAGGATAAACCTAGCACAACAATGGAAAAGAAATACATTACTGATATCAGACTGAGAAATTAAACTTGGAACACATGCAGTAATGGCAAAATTAATAGTATATATTCACAACAGAAGTTTAACCAAATTTAAGCAAAAATGGTTTTCATACATACTACGTATTATGCAGCAGTATTTAGAATATGGTTTTAAGAGGGAAAAACTGAACTGAAGAACTGAAATCAGAAATATACAAATTTTTAAATGTTTCTAAATATTGTACATCAGTTGGCGTACATCAAAGGGAAAGTTAGAAACTAATATTTATCTATAATGTTTGTAGTACTTTTTCTTCTTTCTTTCTTCCTTTCTTTGAAATTTTAAAATAACAAATCATTGAAATGTTGGCACTCAGCTCAGAGATTCAAATCCTTTCTCATATTGTTAAAATAATTTAATGTCCTTTTTTTTAATGGTTAAGTTCTCATCAACAATATACTGAGCGCTAACTGTAGTATCCCAGGAATTCCTTTGTCCATTTACTGATATTATATTTCTGTATTAAGCTTTTTTTCTTTCTTCTTTTCTTTTCTCTGTTCACTTGTTTGCTCTTTTTTTCTTTCTTCTTTTAAAAATGATAAATACATAAATTAAAAAGAAACAAAAATGAACAGGGGCACTACTACCATTGCTATTATCTAAACCTGCCAGTTTCCCACTTGCAATTATTCTTTGGACAAGGTAAACAAGCTGAAGATTAAGGTTCAAACTCAGGTAAGAATCAATAAAGCAACGTTAAAAAACAAAACTATAAAACAAAGCAACTATTCCAAAAAAAATAGATCTAGAAATTAAAAACACAAGGCTAATACAGAGAATCATACACATAGAAATAAAATAATTGTACAAATTTCTACAAAGATGGTAGAAATTTTATGCTATTTATGATATATCTGACAAGGAACATTGGGCTATAATAGCAGGAAAGTCTGTGACTATTCCCCATTTTTTTATCTGGGTAAAAAATAGATATATATCAGACATAATTCCCAAAATCAATATTATGTAGGCAAAGTTAGGAATTTGGAAACGACTGTTTCTAGTTGTTACTCCAACAAAATCCCTTAAAAATAGTTGGAGAGAAAGAAAAAGGGATGTGAGCAAGAAGAGCCGTGATCCTTCTTTTACCTGTACTGAAATAGTTATTGAATGCCAACATGCTTGGCAGAAAACATTTCCTTGAACAAAATGGACCTCATCAAGCCATTCAGTCTTGGTTTGTAAAGCAAAGTTATTATTTCAAGTTTAAAATTTCATATATTAGTGGCTTGACAATGAAGATATTGAAGTGGCTGGTAGCTTCTGCCTTTTAAGACTGACTATCAACAGTAAAGGAACCAGCAGTCAAGAAATATGTGGGATCGTGGGAATCAATGGCTATTATCCTTCATGGCCATGTGATTGCCTCGGTCAGCCATCTGCTGGGAGACTAGTGGGCTTCCTTGGGCAGTTGATTGGCCATAGTGAGAACAGACTGCTGGATTAGATGGGCCAGGGGTCCAATCCAGCAGGGCACTAATTATTCTTATGCTCTAAGCATGCCACAGACTAGCACTTGGTAGACTAGCAATAAAGACCTTGGAAAAGAACTTCAGATACTGTGACATGTCTATTCCTACACAGATCAGAACTGTACAGGCAATGATTTCCCTTGCAACTTCTGTGGAAGTGAAAGTTGGCATTGGAAGATGCAAGACAGAAAGAGTATTGATGCTTTGGTGTTGGATAGCCAAGAAAACAAACAAAGGATCATAGAATAAATCAATTAGAGTTCTCACTTGAGATACAAATGACTGTCTTAAATTATCATATTTTAGATGCATTGTACATCTCCTCCCTGAGAAGTCCAAAATTATGGAAAGGTGAAAAGAAAGAGAAGAAAAAGGATAGACTTACTGGGAATTGTGCAGCATATAAATTTAAATGATGATGATGATGATGATGATGATGATGATGATGATGATGATGATGATGATGATGGAAGCCCTGAAGGTTTCCATCAGATTTCCTGGAGAAAATTTATGGGGTCATTCAAAGTCAACACTGACCTGATGGCACATGATCAATCAACCAATACAAATGGCATAAATTCTTAGGGTTGTGAGATGTTATCATGTACTTGCAGTATAACTCAAATTACTGGGTAGGGGGCTTGCTGTATGTTAGCATCAATATTTTAGGTTCACTGAATTTTTCATTGGAACTTATTTTTGCTATGAATAATGAATACAGCCTCATATTTATACACTGTTTAGCTGTCATGAGATTGTGGCATTAAGGTCATTTATTATGTATAAATCTGGTATTCCTGATTTTTTCCCCTTGTTATCTTATGAAATATAGTTTTCTAATAACACATTCCATTATTTTTTTAGTGATTTTTACTCTCAAGTCTCCCCTTCTCCCCAATCCCTATATTTCCCAATACACTGTATTTTCTATATCCCTCTGATTCATCATTCCAGGCTAAGTTCTGCTGGAAAGCTTCTAAGTATATGGTGTGGCAATATTGTTTGGAAGAGAGAGAATATGAATTATGCAATTGCCAGAGCACGACTGCCAAAAGAGAGTTTCTTTTGTTAGATACTAGCATTTCATGTACTAGTTCAACTATTTTTTAAGTCTGTCACATACCATAGTGACCCAAACTTGGTGCCCTCTAGAATTACAAGACTTGGCCCTGCTGGTTGGAAATTCTGAGCCCTGTGGTCTCAAAACATCTGGAGGTCATCAGGTGAGCCAGACAACTGTTTCGTCTTAGTATTTTCAATCTCCTTTGAACACAGTGGGCCGCTGGAGCCTCATGGTCTCAGCTGCACAATCTGTGTATTCTTAAAACAGAGATTCCAGGGGTTGAATTTGAAATGTATTCCTTTGTAGACCTATAACCCTTGCAAAGCAAGAAATTTAAAATTAGCACAGACAAGAGGATTGCTGAAAGAGTCCAAACCCAGGGGACCACTGCCAGTCAGAGTAAATGTTCCTAAACTTGATGCTGTCCTTGTACATTAAGACTGAAATTGCCCATCCCTTTTTTGCCAGTCCCATGCTTTAAACTGACATTATTGGTTTGTTGAGCTGAATTTAATTTTAAACTGAACTCAAGTTCTTACGCCATTTAGCATGTCCCTGTTATTGCTGTTTTGTATGTCTTCATTGCACCCACAGAGAGATTCTTTTTAATAAAGATCCGCTAAAAAGGGTTACCAAATAATTAAAGTCAAACATATTTGGAGAACTCCACATTTGGGAATGCTGGGGTAGGCAATGCTACAGTGCAAGGATCAATTTTCAACAAGTCAATAAAGTCAGTCAATTTTATTTCACTCGATGATCAGTAAGTTACGTAAAGCATAATTAAAAAGAAAAAACAACATTGTTCAGACTTGCATCAGCTATTGCCTCGTTTTCACTGTGGCAACACAAAATGTAGCTACTGTATGGGTGAAAGGTCTGAGAGAAGGATATTCACATAGTCATTATTTACAGTAGCAATGATGAACTATTTCTCTTTCCAGATCCACCCAGTCAACCAGGTTTTAGAATACCTATCCTGCAGAAGTGCAGAAGGAAAGATGTTATTTAGGTTTTCTTAATACTTTCATGATAGATAGATGACAGACTGATGGATCAATAGATAGAGAGAGAGTAGATAGATAGATGATAGATTGATATCTCTTTCCAATTTCTGGGAATCTATTTTAAACCTTATTTTCAGAATTACCTTTGGTTGAATCATCTTCAATAGGTTGCTTGAATAAAGTGATATCTTTAAAAGTGCAAAGAAATAACACCACCTTGTCATGCTCATTTCTTATCGGTGCAATTTGCATGTAAAACCAAACAGGTGTTCCTGGAATTGAAAAATAAATAAATAAAGCACACATCACATGGAGAGCAAAAAAGGAGTAGGAAAGCAGGCTCATCATTATAATGATCACTTATTATGTTTAGAATGAGCTGTTATTGCAGTGAAAGGCATTTGTCCCTGAAATAAATAGGACTTAACCATTCTTAACTTTGGGCAAATGACCGTTGTAGTGTGTTTGATCTAAGAAAATGGCCTTCATTTGGAAATCTGCAAAAAGAAGGGTCTGTAAACATGGGTAGTAACTACACCGGTGCCTTTCCCCCTCTTCTCTCCCTTTTCTGTTTCATTCTTGAATCTTTGCTTCCAGGATCTTGCTTCTACTCTGGGGCATCTGGAGGGTCAAAAAAGTCAAGATGGTGACCACAACCACACAATCAAGCCCCTCCCCCATTTTAGTGTGTACATTGCATATATGGTACATGTTAAAAAGGGATAGAGCTTTGATTGCATGGTCACAACTGCCATCATGACTTTTTTGACACCCTGTCCCCTAGTGGATCCTCTTGCTTCTAGATGTCATAATCTGGGCCCCTTTTTGTTTAGTGGAAGTTTCCATGTTGGTTGCATGGCATATAAATCAGTGTGAGATAGAAGGTGGGGCTGGAATATCTCCAAGGCTGGCAGGGGAATTCTGGGAGTTGAAGTCCACATATCTTCAAGTTGCCAAGGTTGAGAAACATTGGGCTAGAGAGAATGTGAAGAGCATGGTTTCTGGAATTCCTTCCAGTTTCTTAATAGCTTTACTTTGGTGATATGATTATGAGGGAGGGGAGTTAAGAATGAAGCCGCCAACTGCATTCTGAACTGCTGATCAACTACCTCTCCCAAAGGGATGCATTGGGGGGGGGTCTTCCTGTGTTTTTTTTTTCCCCCTTTGCAGCTCCCAACTGGATCTGACCCATTTTCAGACTCACTTTTTCTTTTGCCAGCTCCTTCCCCAACCAAATATGATCCCATTTGATTCTATGTCCAGACAATTATCCTTCTTATGGACAGAGAGATAAAGTTCCAGGTCCCTTTACATAAGTTCTTTCCAATTTTCCATTGGGTTGGGAGAAATAAAAAGAGGAGGCAACTGTAATTTGACATCAAGAACATACTGAGATTCAAGATTTAAGATGTATTATACACATTTGTGTTTGAGAGAGGGCTGGTGTACATGTGATGAGGTAGGCAGGCAGGCAGGCAGGCAGGCAGGCAGGCAGGCAGGAAGGAAGGAAGGAAGG